CTCTGTAGACCAGGCTAGCCTTGAACTCACAGAGATCCAACTGGCTCTGACTCCCGAGTGCTGGGACTAAAAGCATGTACCACCACCATGCCCAGCTTCCATAGATTTTTTTTTTAAAGGGATATACATTTCCTCTTTAAGGGCCGTGGTAGTTTGAATGTAATTGGCCCCCATAAGCTCTTAGGGGGTGGCACTATTAGGAGGTGTAACTTTGCTGGAGTAGGTATGACCTTCTTGGAGGAAGCGTGTCACTGTGGGGGTGGGCTTTGAGGTTTCTTATACTCAGGATACCACCTAGTTATTGATGTAACCAACCGTCTTATTAAATAAGAAACACAGAAACAATGTAAAAGAGAAAGCCAAGAGGTCAGAGCTCAGAGCTAAAATTTCACCCTTCTGCCTGCGGTGTCCCAGCTTCCTGAAAGAGGGCTATATCCTCTCTGTACGTCTTTTTTATAGTATTATTGTTCTGCCTTCTCATTGGTTGTAAACCCAAACACGTGACTGCCTCGTCACTGTCTGAATGTACAGCCCCCTAGGTCTTAAAGGCATATGTCTCCAATGCTGGCTGTATCCCTGAACACACAGAGATCTATGGGATTAAAGGCGTGTGCCACCACCGCCACACTCTGTCTATGGCTCTAATAGCTCTGACCCCCGGGCAACTTTATTTATTAACATACAATCAAAATCACATTTCAGTACAATTAGAATACCACCACACCTAGTGTTTCAGTTGACTTCCTGTTGCCTGCAAGATGTAGGACTCTCAGCTACTCCTCCAGCACCATGTCTGCCTGCAGGCCACCATGCTCCCTGCCATGATAATAATGGACTGAGCCTCTGAAACTGTAAGTGAGTCACCTCAGTTAAATGTTTTCCTTATAAGAGCTGCTATGGTTGTGGTGTCTCTTCACAGCAATAAAACCCTAACTAAGACAAGGACCTGTATCATATTCATAAGGACTATTTTATGGTCTTTTTCTTGTGCTCCAACTATGTTGCGATACTCAGGGTCCACTGTGGTAGGTTGTGGGGCCCTAGTGGAGACATATTATCCTGGCTGTTATTGACTGTGTGTTTACCCTGGTGTCTAGGCATCCAGGTTTGGAAAGATTACAATGCTGGTGCTGATATCTGGTTTTGTCTTTGCTGGGTGGGTGTTTAGTTCCTTGGCTTCTGTTGCCCTCTTTGGTTCTTAGGAGAGGGTTGTGGCCGTGTGTTGCCTGGTAGAAAATTCTTCTAGGATCCTGATAGGTGTGGCCACTGGGGGTTCTGGGTAAATATCTATTTAGGTATTGGGAGCTGACATGTAGGAGAGGTCTGAGAGTGTCCACAAAAGGGAGGAAATCAAGGTGTTCCACCGGGATCTGCTTAATCCCCTGGAAATGGGGACAGAGAGTGAGGAGAGACCACAACAGGAAGTCTGTACAGAGCTGGAGAAGAGACTGGGGAAAGTGGATTTGGAGGAGAGATGGGAGAGCGAAGGTCTGAAGCTCACCCGTCTGCTTTGCTGGCCTACCTGCTTCCCTGTCAGGCAGGTTGGAGGAGAAGATCTTCATGATCCCCCAGAGACAGAGACAGAGGGACTAGGGGGAGGCCACAGCAGGTGGCCTGATACAGAGTTGGGGTAAGACTGAGGGATTTGATTTGGAGCAGACCAAGGAAAGGGGAAGGTCCTCAGTTAGGCTACCACTTCCCTGGCCAGAGTTGTGGTGATAGATTGTGTACCCTAATAAAATTTGTCTGAAGATCAGAGAACAGAACAAGTCACTTGATTAAACATAGAGGCCAGACAGTGGTGGCACACACCTTTAATCCCAGTACTTGGGAGTTACACGCTTTTAATCTATGTACTTGAGATATCATGCCTTTACATACACCTTCAGTCCCAGCACTAAGAAAGTGATATGGCTGGGTGGAGAAAGGTATATAAGGCATGAGGAGACAGGAACTAGAGCCTTTTCAGGCTGAGGAGTCCTAGAGGTGAGAAGAGGTGAGATGTGGCAGTGGCTTGTCCCTTTGTCTCTCTGATCTTTCAGCATTTACCCCAATATCCAGCTCTTTTTTTTTTTTTTTTTTTTTTAATTAAAACCATTTAGAAATTCCTTTGCATGGAGTGGCCTACAGACTCCCAGGGAATGCCTGCTGGAGTTGGGGACTGGGATAAATGATAAATCAGGAGGAGAAAGGCTGCAGAGAAGAACTATGCGATCCATTGGAGATGAGGCAGAGAGGAAATGGAGGCTGAGGAGGAAGCCCGTTACAGAACTGGGGGACTGGACTTGGAGGAAGAGAGGGAGGGCTGAAGATCTGAAGTTAGCCTACCCGCTTCTCTCCGTATTGGATTCTTTGGTTTTTCAAGGCAGCGTTTCTCTGTGCTCTCGCTGTCCTGGAACTCACTTTGCAGCCCAGGCTGGCTTCGAATTCACAGAGATCCAGCCTAGAGGCAAGAGGCAGGGATCTAGGCAGACCTCTGTTCTTACGCTTTTCTGTACTCCCCACCACATCCCTACTAGGATGCATGAACTTGTTCTGGTCCAAATTGTCATCCACTCTGTAACCAAGTCAGCACCTGCAACAAGCACGTGTACCGTCACCCACATGCTGCTGGTCACGTGCTCCTCAGCTGTCTTGCCCTGCTCTTCGCACAGAGACCAAAGGCCTGGGTCTCAGCGGCCCTTTCCTGTGTTGTGACTTTCCCATTCTCCTCCACTGGGCCTTTGCGTGTGTGCTATCCTCCACTTGAAATGTTTCCCACACCGTTTTCACCCGTTAGCTATTTGGGAAGTCTTCTGTGTCTTTTTTTTTTTTTT